TAGAACTATAAGATATTATATAGAACTATAAGATATTAAATATAACTGAGTAGAACTATAAGATATTAAATAGAACTATAAGATATTAAATAGAACTATAAGATATTAAATCTTATTAAATAGAACTATAAGATATTAAATAGAACTATAAAATATTAAATGGAACTAAATAGAACAATAAGATATCGAATAGAGCTAAATAGAACAATAAGATATCGAATTGAACTAAATAGAACAATAAGATATTAAATAGAACTATAAGATAGCAAGTAGAACAATAAGATATCGAATAGAACTAAATAGAACAATAAGATATCGAATTGAACTAAATAGAACAATAAGATATCGAATTGAACTAAATAGAACTATAAGATAGCAAGTAGAACAATAAAATATCAAACAGAACTAAATAGAACAATAAGATATCGAATTGAACTAAATAGAACAATAAGATATCGAATAGAACTAAATAGAACAATAAGATATCGAATTGAACTAAATAGAACAATAAGATATTAAATAGAACTATAAGATAGCAAGTAGAACAATAAGATATCAAACAGAACTAAATAGAACTATAAGATAGCAAGTAAAACAATAAGATATCAAACCGAACTAAATAGAACTATAAGATATCAAGTAGAACAATAAGATATCAAACAGAACTAAATAGAACTATACACCCTACCTTAAAAGTTCTTATATAGTTCTAATTCCCAACTTCCTCCCTTATCCCTTATGACAATAAGTTGACAACCAGGATCGATATCAGTATAGCGATATATACAACAATCTATATATATTTGTACTAATGTATAGCCCATCAAAAATGACCATGTAAGTACTACCACCCCTAACCCATAGTATACTCTAGCCTCACATTTCATGGCTAACTGAAATAATTAATTGTGCGAAATCAAGCTTGACCAACAAAGAGGCAGAAAAGTGCAGTTGATGTAAATTCCTTTGTGAGTGAATCAAAATTAAGATCATTCATGATATTAATTCTTGCGCATTAATAGAATAATTATTGGTAAAAACCAGTTAAATTAACAACTTCTAATATATAGAAAAGTCAGTGCGTTTTCGTAACATTACGTTCCAACAATGGCTTTTGTGTCATATCGCTTAGTAACAAAAGTTGGTAATATTGTTGTTAGTCTATGTACTGAAAGTTTAAAATGAAATGTATAGACAACAAAACTGAAAAATATTTGTTGGCTACCTGGAGTACTCGTTCCCTGGACGAGTACTTATGTAAATTCATGATTAATGACATGAAAAGTTCCTTTTATTATATGTAATTGTAAAAAATCGCAAAACACAAAATGTGAAACCGCAAGTTTGCATGTATCTCCGAATGGACCCAACAAACCTTCATGCCAAATTTGGTGAAGATCCATCTACAGGAGGCGAAGTAGTGGTAAAAAACGCAAAAGCGCCCATAGAAATTGCAAAACTGAAAAAGTGTATGTACACCCGCATGAACCTAATGTTCGTTTGTAATTAAGTACAAAGCTACACAATGGGGTATCTGTGCTCTGCCCGCCACGTGTATCGAAACCCGGATTCTAGCGTTGTAAGTTCGCAGACATACCGCTGCGCCACTGGGGGGCTGGACCTGATGCATCTCCATATTAATTTTTGTGAAGCTCCCTCCACACCCTGCAAAGTAGTTACATGGACATAAAAAAGACAGTACTATTATATTTATATATATTTCTTATTTTAGTCTCCGTTGATTAAAGAGATTTGTTTCTTATTAAAAACGTTGGTGATATAAACGAAAATAACTTAATTCAGAAACAATTTAAGTTTAAAATCGAATACATATTTTAACTTTCATGATAAATTTTATGCACTTGGCTCTAGGCTAGGTGATCCCACATTACGTCTTTACTTTGTGTTTATTATATCAACACTTACTACACTCATAAGGTTTCACGGCACCCCGCCTTTCACGCCCCACTTGCATCCCAGTCACTAAAATCGTAATGGGCAGATAGTAATCGAACTATTCTATCTGGATAAATGCATTTTGGCTTTTATGACTTCTCCTAAGTAAGTCTTCGAATTTACAACGCTAAAATCAGGGGTTCGATTTCCCTCGGTGGACACAGCAGATAGCCCGATGTGGCTTTGCTATAAGAAAAACAATCAAACCAACTGAGAAATCAAGTATGACGTGACACACACTGGCTTTTATATAGGTTAGATAATAAATCCAGCACTTCAAAGGAAGAAGCTACTTCAAAATATAGATAAATAGTGACACATGTTAGATAAAAAATACACCTTCATACCAGTGCAATATATGCCTAACTGTATCACACTGGTTTTTGGGTTGGAAGGTTCTCTTTTGTGATCGCATACTTTACTCAGCGAATGACAGTATTGTTTCTGATTGGCTTAAAGTATAATTTCTGAGGCTGTTGTTTTTTAACACTGCTGTGCATCTTTTCTACTTCAATGGATAACATTGAAGACATTTCATCAAAATGTTCTGTCTCTATGTAATCTAATAATCTCACTATACGAATCTACCTCCTTAAATTGGAAAGTCGCAGTGGGTTATATCGAAAATACATTTTGACTTTGCTTGGCATTTTATAAGTAGTGTGATGCCACCAAAACTGATAACTTTATGGGAAAGATAAGTAACATACCTTCATATCATAATGAAGTGTTCAAATCGCGGATTCAGAATTGACAAAAGGGGCTATACCTTATACTTAATGGCATTAGAAAACAGGTAAACATAGATCATCTTGGAAAACAGGACCGTGCAGAAAGAGACCTGCAACAAGTCGTGCCCAGTCATGGTAAACAATGTGTAGTGTCTTGTAAAAAGTTAGAATCCACGAATACAAAGGTCAATGACAGACGTCGATCACGTGTCTCAAATAACAGTACGTAAAAAATCAAGAAGGATCTTAATCTAGAAAATCAATAAAGTCACGTTTAAACAAGTTGCTTCCATGACGTTTCCTTTCAAACGTCGCACACCCCAAGTAACTGGAAAATGAAATTTGTATTAAAGCTAATCCATATAACAAAATACCAGTTAAGTCACCAGGCGGAACACATGGATTTCTGTATGATTGAAGTGTTAGAATGGGCGCGGGAAAACTGCCGTCCTCGTAACACAAATGGATAATGGAAAGCATGCAGGGAGGTTGAGTGCTTTTGGACATATAAGCCTTAGGACAGAATCGTTTGCAATGGAAACTACAGGCTACATGGCTATTTTTAAGACCAAACGTGGCAACACGTTACGATGTGGTGACGCTCAAAAATAGTTTTTGGAAAAACGGACTCTATCTTTGCAGCATCTATGGTGGCATACTGCCAAATGTTTGGGAATCCTCCTTGAATCTGATGAAAAATATGTTAAACATGCCGCCACAACACATTTTTGATACACGCCACTGGATATGAAATCGTTTTCACAAAACGCACTCAACTCTGAAAAACATAATCATGTCCATAATAGCCTTGAACTAACCGACAATGACGTCACAAATTGAAATATCAGCGTGAAAAAAGCAAATCTGTGCTGGAAACCTACCAACGGCCACAGTTCCTGCGTGGATAGTTTTATTTTGGTTTAAATTTCGCGCAAAGCTACACGAAGGCTATCTGCGCTAGCCGTCCCTAATTTAGCAGTGTAAGACTAGTGGGAAGACAGCTAGTCATCACCACTCACCGCCAACTCTTGGGCTACTCTTTTACAAACGAATAGTGGGATTGACCGACACATTATAACGCTGCCCCCCCCCCACGGCTTCACTGGTAGTGAACTGCTGACTTACAACGTTAGAAACCGGGTTTCGATACCCGTGGTGGCAGAGAATAGATAGCCCTTCGTGTAGCTTTGTGCTTACTTGCAAACAAACAAACAATTTCAAAGTTAAAAATCATATTTTGATACCCGCGATGGCCCCAGTATGGGTAGCCCATTACGTAGTTTGGTGCTTTTCAACAAACAATTATTTGGATTACACAACAACTAAATAAACTATGTATTCGAAGCATATCAGGGAAATAACTGAATGAAAACACTGAGTAATAACCTCTCCCTTTATGTAAGAACGTTGAACATTGTTCCTTTATTTATGGCCCCCTCCCTGTAAGTCTAAGGATTTACAACGCTAAAATCGCAGATACCCCAATGTGGTTTGTTATAAGTTTGTTTGTTTGTTTTCGAATTTCGCGAAAAGCTTCACAAGAGCTAACTGCCCTAGCCGTCCCTAATTTAGCAGTGTAAGACTAGAGGGAAGGCAGCTAGTCATCACCGCCAACTCTTGGGCTACTCTTTTACCAACGAATAGTGGGATTGACCGTCACATAATAACGCCCCCACGGCTGAAAGGGCGAGCATGTTTGGCAGGACGGGGGATTCGAACCCGCGACCCTCAGATTGGAAGTCGAGCGCCCTAACCACAGGGGCCGGTTTGTTATGAGAAAAAATACACCCTTTATTTATGAATGTGTATATGATACATGTGTATTTATTTGTTTATCTATTATGCATTTCTTTGATAAAACAAATATTTGTGACTGAATGCGTGGCCAAACAGGAAAGTTTTTTAATTTGGTATAGAGGAGTAATCGGAAATTTATACACCTGGGTATATTGTTTAACAAAGTTCACATGTTGAAAACCGGAAATTCTGTTCTGCTTTTCTATTACTACTTATTAGTGAATAAAGTTACAAGCCCCAGCCGGAACATTCGTGTGGTTTGTCTTTGTTTGCTCAATGGCTATTTGTATATTCAGGTCGGACTGTATCGGTATTTAACGAAACTATCTGGCTCGGCATAGCCAGGTGGTTAGGGCGCTCGACTCGCAATCTGCGGGTCGCGGGTTCGAATCCCCGTCACACCAAACATGCTCGCCCTTTCAGCCGTGGGGATGTTATAATGTGACGGTCAATCCCACTACTCGACTCGCAATCTGAGAGTTGCGGGTTCGAAACCCCGTCACACCAAACATGCTCGCTCTTTCTGGGTAATATACCGAGTTATTTACATACCGTTCACTACCAGTGTTGGTAATATACCGAGTTATTTACATACTGTTCACTACCAGTGTGGGTAACATACAGAGTGAGTAACAGGTTATGATTTTGTCTGATCCGTAACAAACAGATTGCGTTCAATCACTCAGTGGTAATTAGTGAGATTATATGCAGTATTAACAATATTTTCGAGTCTCTTTACCGACATATGTAATTAATTAGTTTAGGGAAAGTCGCAGACCCGACATGGTTCAAACATAGCCGGAGGTTCAAGCATTGTCATCCCTAATTTTGAGTCGAATCCCCGTCCCACCAAACATATTCGTCCTTTCAGCCGTTGGGGCGTTATAACGTGATGATCAATCCCACTATTTGTTGGTAAACGATTAGCCCAAGAGTTGGCGGTGATGATTAGCTGCCTTTCCTCTAGTCTTACACTGCTAAATTAGGGATGGCTAACGCAGATATACCTCGTGTAGCTTTGCGCGAAGTTCAAAGCAAAGCAAACGCAACCCTATTTTTGAACTGCGTAACGGAGGGAAAACAGTCTTCAGTTATTGCTGCCTAAATCGGACACTCTTACCAAATAACAAGATTGACTGTCACTCTTATAATTACCGATAGTGTGTTAGTAGTGTTCGTGCTCGAATCCGAGATCCTCGGTATGATACACTAACCACAAGGTTCCGTTTAAGCTTTTCGAATTTGATGTTTGTTTGTTATGAATATCGTGTAAAGCTACACGAGGGCTAGCTGTCCCTAATTTAGCAGCTAATCATCACCACCCACTCTTTTACCAACAAATAGTGGGATTGACCGTCACATTATAACGCCCCACGGCTGAAAGGGCGAGCATGTTTGGTGGGACGGGGATTCGAACCCGCGGATTGCGAGTCGAACGCCCTAATCTAGCGTATCTAGATTAAGGTATTCGTGTATCTAGTCTAAGCCATCAGGGTAAAGGAAATATTAGGAACAGGTTAAGGTATTCGTGTATCAAGTGTAACCCATCAGGGTAAAGGAAATATTAAGAACAGGTTAAGGTATTCTTGTATCTAGTCTAACCCATCAGGGTAAAGAAAATATAGTATTTTTATCTTTTTTTCGACCAATCAGATCAGTTACAATCTACATTTTATTCTCTCGTTTGAGTTTTTGTCAATGATACAAGTGTTTGTATTTATAGTCTATATTTCATGTAGTCTTCGAAAAAACTAATTCTTAAGATACTTCATATACATCAACTTATCGGGACAAACCTTTTATTTTGTTTTTATTAATAAATACAAGAATCTGTGTGAGAATTGTTTAACAGGTTCTACATTATCGTATGTTGAAGTTACACACACACACAGAACAAATCACTGCTTCCAAGATTTAACGTTACTAATGGAAACGTAAAATAAACGTCTGTCTGTTGTAAATGCTTTACTTTAAAACTTCGATTAGTTTCAGTACATTAATAAGAAATGGTTCATTTTAAGTTCAACAAATGGTAGCTTAATTACATCACAGATGGCGCCACTAATCGACGAAGGAAGATTATAGACTACTTTGTATATAATTTTATTGTTTTTATTTAATTTATGTCAGCGGTATACAAGGTACTACTATGGCAAATAATACTTGCTTTCGAACTAAATGCCACACGTGAAATACACCTTTATTCTAGGCTTTTTTTACCACTGAAAACAGCGTATTTAAAATACGTTCCATAATTACAATGTTTTAACAATTTCCTGTAATACATTTCCCAAATCATTCGTTTTGAAGAAGAATTGTAAATTACATATCTTCAAAAATCAAACATCAAAATTGATATTCAAAAGTTTTAATGACAAGAAATACACATAACCATAAACTGTTGGCGAAAGTCATGTATGCAAATCACAACGTTGTATAAAAATGCATACATATATAAGCAAAGAAAAACGTTTACACTTATCACACAGACACAAATTCCTTGAAGGACAACCTTAAACGTACTACACTCATTTGACTATAGTATCTTTAATGGTTTGTAACGTAAAAAGATATTTAGTCCAGATATTTTTTCTAAAATTTTTTTCCAGTGAAAATTTATATATTCACTCCTCCAACGCGTGAGGAAACTAAAAAACAAACAAACCAGGATTATAGATATCTAGTCCAAAACCAGTTGCTGGTTAAAAACATACAATAAATTCAACACAACAGGCATGTTTCCATATTTGGTAAACAGATCAAAGAACAAATAACGTGTTAAAACGACATCTACCAAGAAAAGCTAGAAACGATAATATCACAATAAAAACCAATCTTTTAACCGGTCTAAAAAGATTCCAACTTCGAACAAAAAAAAAAGTGTCTACGGTTTAATATTTTTCAAACAACAAAATGAAAATTATTAATAAACACAACAAAAAAATGTGAAACTTTGTTGGCTTCTTAGGCTCTTTTTTTAATTATCAAACCTTGATATATTTCTTAAAACTGGTTAAAATGAACTTTTTTTTTTTTATCCATTACCTGGTGGCAGAAAATGAAATAAAAAAAGTAGTTTAATACTACTAATTACATAAAACATTCAATACAGCATGGCCAATAAAATATATATATTTTTATCACGGAAATAAGATATTATGTTGGTTTTAATGAAAGAATGAAAATTTTATCACAATATTCTTATCCTTTTGAATATTCAACATGGCTAAACAACGACTCATGCCTACACTTAAACTAAAAATACTAGTTGCTCCCCAAAAAAAAAAAAAAAATCAAGTCTCAAAAGCCTACATGTTAACAACTCAATATAAACAACAATAACTTATTTTATCAAATGCAGTTAAATTTTATTGTATATATATTAAATTTTTTAACAAACAGGATAAAAAAGGAAGTAAATACATTGTGAAAATGAAACCTAAACCAACAAATGAATGTTTTTATGAATACAGAAGGAACACTTAGCACTTCTCAGATGGCATTTAAATTATAAATAGTTAATTTAACAGTTATGAACACCAACAGTTTGACAGCCAGTTACCTACAAGAACGATTAATTTATTATTTACAACAGTTATACCACAGATTTCCATACGCTACAATATTTATAAGCCAAGAAAATGTTCTCTTATTTTGTTTAATATCCAATTCTCCTCTGTTCCCGACAAGCATTTTAATGGTAATGTACCTTTCACAAATTGTACAGGTTTTCTTTGTATCTTTAAATTAATTTTTACCTCTGAAAAAATAATTGCTTTTCATCTCTCAAAATTACTCGTATACTCCAAATGACTTACACCGAAGCATCAACATATAAACAAAGCTAAGGAGAATCTCTAATAGAAGTTTGCAAACATCAAATTTGCATTAAAAAAACACACACACAAAAAAAACTTAGAAATATTTCTAAGCAAAAAAGCACATCAAAATTTCATACTAATGATTTTACATACTGATATATTCACACAATCACCGACTGCAAAATACTACTTTTAAAACAACTGGCACCCACAAGTGTTTTGTGGAGAGGCCACTTCACAACACTAATTGAATGCCCAGCCATTCTCAATGCATGTAACACAGATCGACAGACAGACTCTGCCAGAAATTATAAAGAGGGAATTAGAATATTCATAGTGAAATTTATAAAATTCCTGGTTTACATATTGAGAGGTGGGCTGAAAATTAAAAAGTACTTTAACTTAAAGTTGAGAGTAGTTGTTACCTGTAATACATCATATGTTAGCCCATTTTGTTAAAAGAAATGATCCAATCAAATCTCTTCTACAGTATTTAAACTTTCAGATGACACATTTATGACTTCAACAACTTTAAAAACAAGTAAGTTATAACAAAAACATTTACAGATAGTTGAATTTGACTGTTTTTGACCTCATCAACTTAAATTATTTTCACTCAAGTAAACTTTTGTCTAAAGTTATGAATTTCCAGCTTTGTTTCGTCTTTTGACAAGTTTTCTCTGTGCAGGTGGAAAATTCATTTATTTACATGACAGAAATAAAAATCCCAAAAGAAGGCTAAACATTAACAATTAGAGTTAAAGATGTAGTTTTTGTTTTGTAGCAAATTTGAAGGAATATAACACAAATCATTTATCAAAATTTGATGTTGGACAAGTTCAAGGCTTCAAATTAAACTGATTACATAAACAAAATCTGATTTACCTTTAAGTCAAGTTTAATTAAATCGTGGGAAAGTGTTTATAGGTAGTTCCTCTTTAATGAGAGAACTAATTTATGCATGTTGTTCATTATGCTAAAAGATAACACATTATTTTGTCATTAAATCTACTATTATGTGTAAAAACATGGTTTACATATGGCCATGTCATCATGTTTGTTAACTCGCATTCAAACTTTTATTGAACTATTATTTTATGAATTTATGTCAATAAGTTTGGTATCAAATTGTTGATTATAATTCAAATTTTAGTATTATACATTATTTAATTTCTTGATTTAAAAGTAAATATTAAGAAACTTAAATATTGATTTCTGTGTGTCACATGGTATGTTGAATGCAGCTTTGGTTAAAATTAGATGTTTGTGATGTCCAACTACAAAGTCTATAGTTTCTTATGAATTAGGAACTAAAATTACCGATATTGACAATAGAATATAAAATGAGAACCTCCTGTCTTTTCTATTTGCTGAGATATTGCTACATTTACTGAATCAAACACAGTAGCTCCACCCACCTCTTTCCATTTTTGGAAATATTTGCTTACATTCATCTGCTTTTGTCTATTAATTTATAACCACTCAATTATCTATGTCTTGTAACTAAAAAATGAACCACATTCTAGTAACTTCAATTTAAAATAAACCCTGCAATTAGATTTAGGAAAAAAAAAAATTACAAATTGACTAACAACCTTATTCTATTCCTTCAAATTTCTCTGTATTAAACACTACACGAGTAACTGTTAAGATTACCCTTATTACTGTTATAAAGTATATTTTTCTGTATTTGTTCTTTTACAGAACACTAAATGCTCTTTATTTATGAATACAATGGGTGGTTTTCGTTAGAAAATACAGCGTGGGCGCAGTTTGATGATCAACCGATCATTTACATATTGCACCAAAAGTCGCTTTACTTGTAAAACAACCAATTCTAATCCCATCTTCACAAACAGTAGAATAAATAGGTGACAAAATAATAAATCCTACTTTTGCAATAACTTCACTCTCCTTAATTTAGCTAGATCTGGAGATGTTCTTAAAAAAGTACATAGTTTGATCATTTGAAATCATATAAATATGACATAGAGGTGAATTCAGCCAACGACTCTCATATTTTATTACAGATACTGTGCTAATTAAATAATAATAATATTATATACATATACATTTAAGAGCATTTCAAAACCTTCTTTGAACATCACCAGTTCCAATACTCGAGGGAAGAAAGTTTTAGCTGTGCTAGTTGGAGTAAGGTTCATACAAATTCATTAGTGCCAGGAGATGTCAGAGGCTCCATGCTCTGAAAAGAAAAACAAAATCTCTCTTTTAAAAGACAGTACGATTGTTTTACAAACTATCCAGGTCAATAACAGCTCTATAGAAAAAAGTAATATACCTTTCTATTTACAAATAACATTCTACTATTTACCGATGCCATATTTAATAACGAAAGTATAAGATTCATAATACACACTTATTCATTATCATTGCTTAAACACTAACAGATATTGTGTCTACACTCACTATATCACATCGAAAGTCCCAGAGAGCATATTTGGCTAAAACAATATGTATTTTATGTAAGAAATAAAACAATGAATGTTTTTCGTACACTAGTCCAGAATCTTGTTTTAACAGAAACAAAATGAAAACAAATGTTTGAAATATTCTGTTCAAATTACCTAGATCATGAAATTATACCTGATATATTAAAATTTGAAAGTTTCGATGTATGTTTAACTTAATTTCTTTTGTGTAATATAATTTAAAAAATTCAAACTACAAGCTTGGATTATTTTCTCTCATACATTTGTCACAGAGTTTCCCAAATTCTATACATAGATTTTACATTTTACTTAATATCAAAGGTATCCTGGTGCTCATGCCTTGAAATAACGTAAGCTACTAATGATTTTTTTATGGTTTGCATAACACAGGAAAGGTAACAAGTTCTTTTAATTTACATCCCCGCATGTATGTTTAGTTTGTCGAAGTAACTGCTTCAGCAGTTTCTTTCTGCATACAAGAACTCTTGTTCCGAGAAATCCACTCAAAAGAAGAAAAGGGATCTTTTTTGAAACAATTTATATAAATAACAAACTAAAATAACAAACTAAAATAACAAACTAAAATAAATACTATTCTTATTCAAGTTTCAATGTTTCACACAATAACGACCGCAATAATTTCTTCCACAAATTACGTCTAGCATAAAATGTCGTTAGGCCTAGATACTATTGCTGTTGTACAAGTGTGCATCGAATCAACACAATATTTACCGGCATAATGCATAACAACATCGTACAGCCTAAAATTACATAGCAATTTCTATATAAGCTGCCCATAACATCACCCAGTTCACAGTGGCCCCTCAACCGAGAACACTTCAAAAGACAGTCTGAATGTTTTCTACATCAAGTACAAAATAATTATTCAAACCATTTCAATGGGTAAATCTGCCAATACTAGTTATGAAAAACTCACTGGAGGATATGACCTTGCTGGCTGATACTGATTTTTATCTAGACTAAACTGGTCTTCAGTTGTTTTTCTATACACTGGATTGTCAAAATTCATGCTTGTTACATTCCTTCGAATATACTGCTTATAGACCAGAAATGCAATCTGTAGAAAAAAAAAAAAAGAGTACATTTACAACGTTATTTTCAAATGTATTTGATTAATTACTTTTTACAAAGTAATAATGTTTTTCTTTTATTGTAACTTAAAAAATATTGTGCTAAATATGCAAATGATTTTTATATAAACATTTTAGAACTAAGATGTAATGCCCAACATTTCTTTTGTTGAAAAAATAATGAATTTAAAAAAACAAACAAACATTTAAATTAACAGATTATCACAAGTGTACACAACATCAATGTAATCGTTACTTGCAAGACAACAGAAATAAAATGATAAAAAACTTAGTTTTCTATTGTAATGAATTTATAATGCACAACTAAATTATGTAAATAATAAATTCTTCAGGTGTCATAAAATATACAACTTTAACCCAAGGATGCAATTTAGTTTTGATGTCCAATAGAGGAAAAAAAAATCTGAAATTTAAATACTTTCATCTTTATCATAAAGGAAAGTCTTCACAAGAGGAACGGACAATGTGAAAGGTAATACTTTTATTTCATACGTTTCTAGTTAATCTTTAACATATGCTAATGATTAAAAAAAAAAAACTTTGTTCATTCCTTACCAGGGCAATGATGATCACAAGCCCCCCCAGGATGGCAATTATGATGCCAGCCATTTTACCAGTGTCAGATTCCGAGGAGAATGTTTCACTTTTACCTTCCTGAAACTGCTTATTACTGTCATTCCTCAAGATCTCTGAAGTATAGGTTGTAGCCTCTGACAGTGTAGTTGTCTCTTTAGAAGAACCAGAAGGAACACTTGTTTCTATAAACAAAAAGAAAACAAGTAAGTTGTAGCCTCTGACAGTGTAGTTGTCTCTTTAGAAGAACCAGAAGGAACACTTGTTTCTATAAACAAAAATAAAAACAAGTTAATTACATTGCATCTAATCCTTTCGTTTATTAAAAAAAAAAATCATGTACACAAAATTGTCTTTTTTTACAGGAAAACAGATGTTTATATTTTTCTCTCTCACAAACACAGAACATATTATTTAATTGGTTTGTTATGAATTTTGTGCAAAGCTACACGAGGGCTATCTGCACTAGCCGTCCCCAATTTAGCAGTGTAAGACAAGAGGGAAGGCAGCTAGTCATCACCACCCACCGCCAACTCTTGGGCTACTCTTTTACCAACATATAGTGGAATTGACCGTCACATTATAACACCCCCAATCCGCACATTAGGAGTCGAGCGCCCTAATCACCTGCTCGTGCTGGGCCATATTATTTCATATCATAAGGCAAGGGTTAATGAATAATGAAAAGAAAATTACAATAACCAGTTTCTCAGTCATTCTCCTTAGGGTGTTAAAAGCATACTTACACAACTAATTTCAAAAACATGTTTAAGAAAGACCACCAAATAGATGTTAAAAAATACTTGGGATCAGAATTTTTTAAATACCTTTTCAGACGTGATTTAACGATTCAACAGACTGGGTCTTTTTGGTTACAGAATCAAACTGAACAAACCGTGAAACACTAACTAACCCACCCACCCACCTAAATACGTCCGTGCATATTTGTATGGCTTTTAGCCATGTATACAAAATTGAATTATTTTGTCCCAGTTTTATCTTTTTGTTCCAAGAACACCATATAAAATGTATGGACATTTGAGAATGCTCAGGATGCATAAGGTAAAAACATTGCGATGAAAGTATATACAAAAATTGATTTTTTATTGTTTACTGCTGACAAAAGACATACAGGGTGTCCTAAAATGAATGTACTATAAAGAAAGTTGAAAAACTTGTTAATTATTTGAGATAACAACAAATCTTAAAACAAAATATCTTCTGAAGACTTGTAAGTTAATTGTCATTGTTATTAATTACTTTGTTTATTATTATTATTTATAGCAGTTTTCAGAACTTACCAAGTTTTGAGTAAGATAACAACTCCTGAAGAGTTTCCCCCGAGTTCACCCCTTTGAACTTTTATTTTGGGGGCTTTTTGAAAACAAAAGTCTGAACTGAAACTTTGTATCTACAATGTTGTCTTATTCATCCCTACACGTGTTGGAAAAATGTGTTCTCAGAATCTGAATGTAAAATCAGATTGATTATAGCTAACGATGGAAAACTAAAATTAAATAAAACTTACAAGCCTTGACAAGATATTCTTGTGTTGGATTTTGGGACACCCTGTACTTTATATACGCATACAATTTTGATTTGTTTTAAATTCTCTAACTTGCTTGTCTTTGTTTCATTTGACAAGGTATTTCCTCCTTTCACTAAAACAATTATATAACCCCCCAAAAAAATCCTGCAAGTGATGATGTAATGCTCATACTTCATTTGCACAACTAATTCTATTGGAGTACATACTTGTTAACCCTCAATTAGTAAATATCCTCAAATAATTCATATTATAGAGAAACACTTATGTAGCTTTCAAAAAGAAATAATCAACACGAGCCCAGAACAACTACATCTTCAACATTATTTTTTTAATTGAGGTAGTAAAATTCGTTTTTAAATTATTAGCAAGTTAGTTGTGCCTTTTCGAAGCTAAGAACCCTCCCATTTTTTTAATTGGTGTTTAGCTGGAAGTTATGTATTTTCAAATTTAATATACATGCTCACTTGTCTACAGTGCAGCACTTTACAAGTTCATAAATCAATAACTAACTTTATACCATCTCTAGATATTTGAGAAATATATCAGTCAGAGTAGAAATAAGAAAAATTAATTTACACTGTGCTGTTCAGGCCCCCCTACAGGCACTACAAAAACAAAAGTTTAATATTTTCAACTTCTGGTAGTAATATTAATTAGATAATGATTATAAAATGTAAAATCATTTTGTACACTATTTTCTGGCTCAAAATTATTGAGATAGATGAGAAATATTTTAAATTAAATTTTCAGTATTGGTATACAAATGTGCATTCAATAGTCATGTCATTATGGTTCCAAAGGGGTTAATTAGAAATTACTGACACATACCACGAGACATCTAAATGAAAAATACACAAAGGTGGCCAATTACCTTGATCTGTAGAGTTGTAGAAGTACACAAAGGAAGAGTTATGATCCATTATATCTTCAGAAACGGAGGTAGACTTAGATGTATTACTAGTGTCCAACACAGGTATAGAGTTAGGTTCTTAGAAAAAAACAACAAAAAATGCCATCACTATAGATAATGATGAACAATGAACAAGAATTATATTTAAAAAAATCAAGACATTCTATACAACAAAGCAAAAGAGAGTTAACTAATTATCTAAACTTTCTCAAGAACACGTCTTATCAAGGTTTTAATGTCTTTATGGACATAAATTTAACAAAGTTAGATTAGACTCTTGTTTTATTTTTAAAAAATTAAACGTTTAAGAAGCCACAATGGTCATATGCTACTACTATCTTAAAGATCGGTGGCAACAGTAGGCCTAATTATCAATAAATAATTTTTTTTGCATCATATCCGGAGCGAAAAGAACCAATATTAAACTAGTATTTATTTATTTTGGACTACTTATATCTTTTAATCAAATATCAAGTTGCTGTTTTAATACGATGCAAGATAGCTTAGGTCTGCTGAGAAACAAAAGTGGCATTCAAACATTTGGAACAGCTGCAGCAGCACCCCAGATTTAGTCAAAATCTTGGTCTGGCATACGGTTATGGCAACGTCATTCAATCCTTATACCACAACCATAACTCTAGACGACAAACACCTTCACTCTAAAAATGTTTATAAGTAAATGTATGAAAAGTGTTTATTGTCTAGAGTTATGATTGTGGTATAAGGATTGAGTGAAGGTGTTTGTCGTCTAGAGTTATGGTTGTGGTATAAGGATTGAGTGAAGGTGTTTGTCGTCTAGAGTTATGGTTGTGGTATAAGGATTTTCTATAATATTAAAATAAATCTGCCTGGAAATTTCATATAAGCAAGTCTGGAGTCATAACAAAAACTTTGGAGATAAAGATATTTAAGCTGTTGGTTTAAATAAAAAAAATTAGAGAACCTGCTCAATATATCAAAAAATCTTGCACACAACAAAAGTAAAGAGACGATGTACATTTTCTTTTGAGACTGTTGCTAATTTTTCCTATATTTACTTTGCTTAAAGGCACAAAAGTGGGAAGGTATGCTGTTTCAACTATATATTACACATGCAAGTGACTGAACATATCAACGATTCAATTACAGCTACAAATTGGAATTAATTCTGACAGCCACATTAGTTTCTTTCCTTAGTAGTTATCCAGTCTGTATGAAGATTGGAGAGAAAATGATTTTAAGTCCATCCCAATAGATACATGATGGCAATAACACTGATGTCAACAGAGAAAGAAAAAAAAAACTAGCTTCCTGGCTTGCCAGTTTTTCTCAATAATAAGTGAAAGTCAAATAATTAATTTGTGTTAAAGAAAATCAATTGTTTGATGCAAATAAAAATCAAACATAATTCTGAAGTGTAACGACTCACATAAAAACTAGTTTACACAAAACATTTGTCTTGATCACAACTGTATCCATCTTGTAGCAGCCTCCTCGTAGATAGTTAGAAAAGCCTAATTGGCATTAGATACAGCAAATATAATGTGGTTGACATATTATTTCACTGTTCTTATTCTTTTTAATACACATGTCTATAGACACACATTATATTAGTAAATCCATGCACTACATGATTTTTTTATGCTAGACAAATAGATACAATACCATTAAATAAATGGACAGACACAACTAGTTTAATTGGAAAAAAGGTGCTTTTCTAATACCTGGAGACGAGGATGATATTGGCTGAGAAGTAGTAGTTGTTGTTGTTGTTGTAGCCGATTCTAGAACAATTGTGACAAGTAAAATTGGTATATTACACAAAACAAGACTTGGCAAAAACACTTGAGAATACTGAAATTCATAATACCAATAAATTTTGTTAAATAGGCAAATATATGTAAATTAAACTATACAAATAGAATATCTGTAAAGTTTGAATTGTTGAACTTATTAAAAGATTAAAAACATTATTAGTCTACATACTAAAAAACATGTTCTCTTTTCTAGCTTACTATTCCTCTCAAGCAAATTATCAAAAACAATAAAAAAATTAAATGATTAAAATTAATCATTAAAGACTTTTTTTTTGACGTTGAATAAATAAACAAATAAGATTTTAGCATGGATACATAAAAAAACAAGACAATTAATTTTTAGTATAAAGCCAAGCAGATGATAAAACTACTTTGTACTTATTCGTCTGGTACTGTCTGATCATCTTGAATACAATTTTTGTTCCATTCCGACATTTAGCAGATTAGTTTATGACTAACTATAAATTCAAGGAACAGTTCACAGCTTTGATACTTTTCACTCTACACAAAACATTCCAAGATCATATATAATAGAAATATCATTATTTGAACAAGACTAAAAGAAATGCACCTGTGGTGATGCAGGTTCTTTGATCACTCTGAAGTTCCATATTATCAGGACACACACATCTGAACTTTGCAGAATCTGGAGTTAGGTTGGGTGACGGCAAACAGAGGTGGGAACAATATCCATTCTGATTACTGCAGTGGTTCTCACCTAGTGTTTGATAATGTATTATAAGATGTCATTTGATGTCAATATGAAAACAAAATTTTTCCCACAGTATACAATTTACCAAGTTTTAATATCTTAATACAACTAGTATTTCTATCAGTGATAATTGGTAATTAATTTGAGCTCTACTCACCATTAGGCTGCTTATACTTGTGATAAATGTGCACATCCATGGGAGAGTATACACCAACAGTCACGTTACTTATTTCCTTACCAGTAAACTTATTAACTCTGTGGATGGCTTGGGATTCCCAGTCTGTCCAATACGCCCAGTCCTGCATTTAACAGAACGTAAAAATATAAGAAATATCCAAGACAATTAATCTTCGAAAAATAAGAAAAAATGACAATAACAAAGTAACCAATATTACTGAAAACAGAAAAACTAGCTTACCTCAAACACATCAACAGAGAAAGGGTGTTTAAGATGTTTAGGTGAAAACAAAATGACTCGTTGATTATCCCCAGAATAGTCTGCACTACTGAGTGTATGAAGTTTGGCATCAACCCAGAATATTTTCCTGGACACTAAATCTGTGTAACCAAACGTGATAGTTTTAGCAAACTAAATATGTTATAAGTGACCATTAAAATCTGTTCGGTTTTTGCTTTCTACCACTATAAAACTTATTTGACTAACTCTTTATCTAAAAAAAAAAAAATCTAATTTTACAAAATTCATTTTATGAGCCTTCTATCTTACAGTTTGTAGTTAAACACGGGTTTGGTGTTGGGAATACACATACAAACTAGATATTATTTTCACTTTTAAATAAAGTGTAACAAAGGCTAACATACCTAATGCCAGTCCGTTAGGCCACTGAACATCAGAAGTGACAATAGTTTCCCGATGTGATCCATCCAAGCCAGCACGTTCAATCTTGGCTGGATTTCCCCAATCAGTCCAAAACATCCATCTAGTTAAGGAAACACAAGACCATGTCATACACACATAAACTTGTGCCACATAAAGCACATGGGATGTAATATTACAAGTATATTTTATGCTAAAAAGCATCATAAGTAGCGCTTTATTATTTAACTTTCCAGTTGGCTGAAATATTCTCATATCAACCCATACATCTGAAATTAAATCTATATACTACTAAAACTCTGAGATTGTTTGTTTGTTTGTCTGTAATTAAATACAGCAAAAATGGCACACAATAGTGCCATATTTGTTAGAATATGGTACCCCTGAAATGAGAATAGAAACAAAATAAAACAAGTTTAATTAAAATCGGGCCACGTGTTACTGAGTTAGGGCCGTTTTTCGGGTCACTTTCATGAAAATTTCTGGCATGAGTAATTTTACATCACACTACCGTTTGCGCTCTTTACGAAACTTCTTACTTCACTTTTTTGAAAAATGAAATGGTCTTTCCTTTTACTCCCGATCAACAATCAAATATCTTTTCTTGAATTATGAATAACACAATTGGATTGAAATAAGTATTTAAATTATTTCAAAATAAACCTTCATTTCGGAGCAATATTGAAATTAGCTTGAATTCTTCATAACCTCTGAATAGTGGGTGACCCAATGGGTCACGGTGGTCTAGTTTACCTTAAAACTAGCAATTAGATATATTTTTGCTCATAAAACCATACAAAGTAGTGCAAAAATGCATTCACTATTTTTTCCTAACATTTTAAACATGTATGTGTCTGCCTTAATTCTTTCAGCATGGGTTTGGTCCCACAGATCGACCTCGTAAACATTTTGTGCTTGTTATAGTTTTCATGCTATAGCTTTCAAATTAGTAAGCGTATCTTCATAAAATTTTGCAATTATCATTAAACATTACAAGGCTTTCATATGTTAAATATCAGATTTCTCTATTAAGTTAAAGATTTTTTAAGTACCATTTTTCTCATGCCTTTTTTTTGTTTCAAATGTTGACTATCCAACAATTTGGATTTTAAGATTGAAAACATTTTCATGCATCAGCAAAGTTTCAAACTTCACCAGTGAAACCTTTATAACTTCCAGATAATTATCAAACATTTTTGAAGAAAGAACTTTATATTTTATCTGTTATTTTCACTGTCAAATCTCTGTTCGGTCAATCTGATCAACCTCATAACCACCATAACAAATTAGGAAATAGATATAAATTATGCTTTTTTCATTTTAGATTGACTACAAATTATAACACAAAAATACAAATGTTTAGTCTAAATAGCTTAAATCTCATAACATTAAACATTTATATATATTTATTATTTTTAATATATTGACCTTCCAGTCATGCCTGGCAACAATACAGAAGTTACAATGATGTGGCGCACACGCACTCATGTTACCGTATTCAAGAATATAAAACTGGCCTTTACAAAGTGACCTTGTGTTTTAATGGACTAGTATTTTGTAAAATACAGTCACATTTGAGTTATAATACATTATTACTATTTACAAATAATTTCTTAGTTATTTTTCTTAAACATAGAACAGTAAATAAGTAATTATAGAAAATAATTATATCTTCTAGTTACAAACTTTGAACTCGTTTACTGCTTGCCATAGGTTGCTAAGCCTTATCAAATTTCGCATGTGGAAGATGTGAAACAAAATAAATTTTTTTAAGGATATATATATATATATATA